ATGAATTACCAAGATATGTTTAGTTTAATAAAAAAGCTGAAAGAAATATACTTTACAGTTTCATTTACATAAAAATAAATTTTAATGCAATGTTTATATATCAGTTTAGAGGTCAAAATAGTAATTTCCTTTGGAGAGTAGAGATACTGATAGGGAATGAGTATGAGCTGGATTTGGAGGATTTGGTACAACTCTTTATTTGTCTGTGTAATGGTTCACTTTTCACAATTTATTAAGCTGTACAGTTACACACTTCTCTGTGTTAGGTTTTTCCCTACAGAAAACTTATATGTATATGCATTTTTATAGCCAATCACTCGTACAAGTTAAATAAACTGTTTAAAAGGCTGGCTTTAACTCAAAAAAATATGTTATGCCATCAAATAAAGAAGATACAGGAAAATCCAATGCACTCATTTTATGAGAAGTGATTTGTTCAGGAGAGCTGCTAATTTGTTATCTCTCCCAAATAGAATTTATTATAATAAATTAGACAGAGAGCATAACAAAAAAGGCAATCCACAAGAGAAATTGTTTTTCCTGTAAGTCTTGTTTTAGATAAAATGCATTTATATTTCTTGTAAAATGGCCATAATAATTATTGCAGAAATCAGTACTAGAAGAGAAAATTAGCTAGAAACCAGAGCAGAGAGCAAATTAACTGAAGAAGTCATAATAACAATTAGAAAAAAATACTTTGATAACTTACAACTAAATGGCAATAATCAATAAAAAGCATCCTTTTGTCTAAATACTATATTAACAGTAACATTAATCTCATTTCATCCTGAAAGCGGCTCAGGAAAAAAAACTGTAATTGCAATGGATGACTACACAAGATAATTCTTGAAGATACAGAGAACACTGGTTTATAAGGCTTCTTTTTGAGAACTCCTTCAGTGGCAAGTAGAAAATACAACATTATATTTTGTTTGACCCAGGACTGTAAACACAATGCCTGTTTTTCATCACAAGAATCATGAATAACCCTTTTCCCTCTCAAAGTACTTCTGTGTGGACTAAAATTATACAATTACCCTCCAAACAGCAAATTATTAATTTATCTATTCTTCAAGTATTAATGATAAACCACTTTTAATATTCAGGAGCCCTTATTCTTTATTTCATCTGGGTATCTACCCATAAAACTCTAACTGATTAGAATACATCAGATTTCATGATTTACCACAATTACCAGAAATATATAGCAACTGAAAGATCAGTTGATGTTCCAAATTTCCTAGTGGTAGTTTTCAAATTTATTTTCTACTGATGAAATGTTCAGAACTTAACACATTGAGTAACTAATTATGTTGAGTTTAAAGTTACGGCAAATAGTTTACTGTTTCAACGAATGAATACATATACATTTTTATATTCTGCAAATTCTTGTTTCTGAGTTAACATTTTATTGGGAGGCAGTGGTTATATCCCCACAAGTCATACTACTTTCTAGTTTGTTTATAGAAAGTAAATATATATATATCAATCTTCCAGTCAGATGTAGGGTAGACAAGTGCAAGTCTTTGACTTTATAATTTGCCAAATGGTTTGGAAATAATATTAATTTTAATATCTAATGTAGATATTATAATTTGCAAAGACATCTTAGAATACAATAAAAAAAGTAATTACTTTCTCATTTTCAAAACTATCAAAATATTTTAATGTATGTATAATTGAATGTCTAATTATAGCTCTATATTAGGAGATAAGCTTTTTTGCAGCTTTGTATTTTAGCTATATTTTCCAGAAATTTAAAGATTTGATGTTACTTTTAATATAACAAAAACATTTCTTATGGAATTATTAAAATTTTTAATCTTAATGTGTAATCAATATGTAGAACATCTTTTTACAAATCTTATGATTTAAATATGTTGGGAGAAACTACTATGGATATTTTTAAATTGGAGTAGAGATACACTAAAGAAAATGCCATTTTATTACCTTTTTCCGATTGATTACAAAAATAATCAAATGGTATTTTCTTTAGTTGACAGTTTCTTTACTTGTCATGTCCTAGAGTATTCTTTGTTTCTATGTCCTTACATAAGATATTTAATTATGTAGTGATATTTATAAGTACATTTTGACTTTCGTATACACTGAAACATTGCAGTAACCTATTTGGTTAGATAGTATGTAGAAATAAAAAAGATATGCAGTATTGTGGATTTCTTTAGAAAAATTCACAATTCTGTAATTAAAATTTAAGGTGTCTGCAAAGTATCTCATATATGTACATTTATCTCTGCCGTGTGTGTGTGTGTTTGTGTGTGTGTGTGTGTGTGTGTGTGTGTAATCAAAACCACAATTCTGACTGGCATGAGATGATATCTCATTGTGGTTTTGATTTGAATTTGTCTAATGATCAGTGATGTTGAGCTTTTTTCATATGTTTTTTGGCCTCATAAATGTCTTCACTGGTAAAGTCTCTTGTTCATGATGTGTATATATATTATTACTATATATATAGTAATCACTATGAGGAGGTATAAAGTATATATGTATATATATGGTAATCACCATGATGAGGTAAATGTGATACAGAGCATGAAACCTAGATAACATGGACAGTTCTCTTGAAAAAGACTCTGTGTCTAATAAGTACCAACTGATTCTTCAATCCTTTTAGTTTAAAAAATAAATGAATTAATGTTATGTTTGATGCAAAAGAGAACCCTCTAACAAAAGGCTCTGAGTCAAGTGGAGCTTGGGTTAGTTTGTATTCCAAATAACCATTTGTATTTATGATAACTCAAAGTGAGCACTGATCTGAGCTAGTGGATATATTTTTATTAAAATCAGTCATTTTGATTGTTTTTAAAAAATATATTCTTTTTATTGTATATTCTGGGATTCGTGTGCAAGATGTGCAAGTCTGTTACATAGGTAAATGTGTGCATTGGTGGATTGCTGCACGTATTAACCCATCACCGAGGTACTAAGCTCTGCATGTGCATTAGCTGTTTACCCTGATGCTCTCCCTCCCCTGCCTCTCCTCACTGCCAACAGGGCTCAGTGTGTGTTGTTCCGCTTACTGTGTCTATGTGCTCTCATTGTTCACTTCCCACTCATAAGTGACAAAAATGTTGTGTTTGGTTTTCTCTTTCTATGTTAGTTTGCTGAAGATAAAGGCTTCCAGCTCTATCTATGTTCCTGCAAAAGACATGATCTCATTGATTTTTATGGCTGCATAATATTCCATGACATATATGTACCACATTTTCTTTATTCTGTATCATTGATGGACATTTGGGTTGATTCTATGTCTTCACTATTGTGAATTGTGCTGCAGTGAACATATGTATGCATGTTGCTTTATAATAAAATAATTTATATTCATTTGGGTATATACCCAGCAATGGTATTGCTGTGTCAAATGGTATGTCTAGTTCTAGGTCTCTGACAAATCACCACACTGTCTTAAACAGTGCTTGAACTAATTTACATTCCCATCAACAATGTAAAAGTGTTTCCATTTCTTCACAGCCTTGGCAGCATCTTTTGTTTCTTGAATTTTTAATAATTTTCATTTTGACTGGCATGAGATGATATCTCATTATGGTTTTGATTTGAATTTCTGTAATGATCAGTGATGTTGAGCTTTTATTCATATGTTTGATGGCCTCATAAATATCTTCATTGGTAAAATGTCTGTTCATGTCCTTTGCTCAGTTCTTAATGGAATTGTATGTATTATTTTTCTCTTAAATGTGCTTAAGTTCCTTGTGGATTCTAGATAATAGACCTTTCTTTGTTAGAGGGATAGATTGCGCCGGGCGCGGTGGCTCAAGCCTGTAATCCCAGCACTTTGGGAGGCCAAGGCGGGTGGATCATGAGGTCAAGAGATCGAGATCATTCTGGTCAACATGGTGAAACCCCGTCTCTACTAATAATACAAAAAATTAGCTGGGCGTGGTGGCGCGTGCCTGTAATCCCAGCTACTTGGGAGGCTGAGGCAGGAGAATTGCCTGAACCCAGGAGGCGGAGGTTGCAGTGAGCCAAGATCGCGCCATTGTACTCCAGCCTGGGTAACAAGAGCGAAACTCCGTCTCAAAAAAAAAACAAAAAAAAAAAAAAAAAAGAAGGATAGATTGCAAAAAATTTCTTTGCTTCTGTAGGTTGTCTGTTCACTCTGATGATAGTTTCCTTTTCTGTGCAGGAGCTCTTAAGTTTAATTAGATCTCATATTTTGATATTTGCTTTCATTGCAATTGCTTTTGGTGTTTTCTTCATGAAATCTTTGCCTGTGCCTATGTCCTGAATGGTATTTCCTCAATTTTTTTTTATTTATTTTTTTATAGTTTTGGCTTTTACATTTAAGTCTTTAATCTAACTTGAGTTAATTTTTGGATAAGGTTTAAGGAAGGGAGTCCAGTTTCAATTTTCTTTATATAGTTAGCCAGTTTTCCCAGCACCACTTATTAAATAGGGAATCTTTTCCTCATAGCTTGTTTTTGTCGGGTTTGTTGAAGATCAGATGGTTGTAGATGTGCAGTGTTATTTCTGAGATCTCTGTTATGTTCCATTGGTCTATGTGTCTGTTTTTGTACTAGTACAAGGCTGTTTCAGTTACTGCAGCTTTGTAATAAAGTGTGAAGTTGGGTAGCATGATGCCTTCAGCTTTATTCTTTTCACTTAGGATTTTCTTGACTTTATTGACTCTTTTTTGGTTCCATATGAATTTTAAATTAGATTTTTCTAATTCTATGAAGAATGTCAATGGTAGTTTAATGGCATTAGCATTGAATCTATAAATTACTTTGGGCGAAATAGCCATTTTTACTATATTGATTCTTCTTATCCATGAGCATGAAATGTTTTTCTGCTTATTTACGTCCTCTCTTATTTCTTTGAGCAGTGGCTTATAGTTCTCTTTAAACAAGCCCCTCACTTCCCTTGTTAGCTCTTTTCCTAGACATATTATTCTCTTTTTAGCAATTGTGACTGGGATTTCATTCACATTTTGGCTCTCTGTCTATTGTTGGTGTAAAAATAATATGGAATGCCTCATGAATTTGCACGTCATCCTCGCACAGGGGACATGCTAGTTTTCTCTATATCACTGCAACTTCAGTATATGTGCTGCCAAAGTGAGCACAACTTCAGTTCTTTGTTCATCATTTCATTCTCTCAATTCGTTTTGGAAGAACAAATGTGAGGCTAATATTGAGGATAGGAGAAATTTTTCTAAACATTCTAGGAATTTATTTGTACCAAATTGTGTTACAGAGGACACAATGTGGACAAGAATTTTCTTAAAACAAACTTTATGAGTTTTGTAAGAATGCTGATACAGTATATATTTATGTAATTAAAATTTTATAAATAAACGTTTATTTTTGTAGCAAATAACATATACAACTTTTAATAAATCACTTAACTTTGTAATTATTTTTCTAGCAAATAAGCCTTTTCAAACAGATGTAGAGAAATAATAAATAATGTGTGATCACAGAGAAAATCAACAAACTGAACTATAACAGATATATTTTGTTTAACTATGAAAATTGTGACCTTAAAGACTAGGTCCTCAAAGACTTGCTATTAGGACTTTTTAAATTCTCATTATTTAGCATTTTGGACAAAGGGATTTATTCTGCTTAAGAGACTGTTTAGCTGCTGGATAGTATGTAAGTAAATAATTTGGATAAGGTAATCTGGAATGTCTTGCCCTGGAATTTGTTCCAGACTATAGGCTTAAGTAAAGAAGAAAGATGTTCACATCTGTATGATTTATCATAGTTTACCAGCATAAACAAAGATGAAAAGATTGAGAAATGGTGTTTATGTATATTAAGCTCTGCTGTAACACTTGCTTATAAATACAAATTGATTCCAAGGCAATTGCTATATTAACAAATAATTTTAGATTAATGCAAATTTTACATTTGCTTTTGCATTATTTTATGTGTGGGAAACTGAATGTGGAAAACTTCTCATGACTAAATCAATTCACAGACACACATAGACACAAATACACACACCATACCTCTCAAGTATCTATCACTACCATTGTGTCACATGATCTTATAGTGCAACATCCCATCACATTTCAGATAATCATCCGTTCATCACTTCAGAATAACTCACAAGTTGCAATCATTCCGCAAGTAAACTTCAGATCTTTTTCTATGTATTATGCATTTATTTTAAAATGGTCATATGTAAAACTGAAGACTCTTAATTAGGATTCTGAATTTTAAAAAATGTGTGTTACTAAGTTTTTAACATTTTTCCATAAGCCCTTTAGTATTTTCAGTGCCGTTTTGCATAAGAACACGTATTTTGTGCTACAGCAAAATTGACTGACTATAGAAAAACTGACTATAGCAAAGTACATAAATGTACTTTGCATATAAAATAGCAAGAGATTCCAGACATTTTAACTACTGAACTCAAATGGAAGAATATTAATAAGTTCAGTGTTCCAAAATGGCAGCATAGAAGAAAACTGTCTTCTCTCCTACAAAGAAAACCAAAACCAAATATACAGCATTAAATTTATCACCAGAAATAGCCCAGAATTCAAATATGAAAAAAGAATAGTTTCTGGGGTCACAGAGCAGTGGAAAATCTCTGAGCAGATGGTAAGAGAATTGGACTTCCACATCTATGATGTTTGTGCCCTCATTCTGCCCAGCACCAAGAGTGCAGAAGATTTCCCACCAACTCACTGTTTCTACAATGTAAAAAGTTAGATGGAAGTGAACAACCAACTTCCTCATCATGTTCAGTTCCCTTGCAGGATATCTGCATCCGCCTTAATCCACAGGAAGCAGTGTGAGTGCCTGAAGACAGTCATATCACTGAAGACAAGCAGAGAAAATGGGTGACAATGGGACTACTATTCTCAGCCCTGGAAATTAAAGTAAGAAAGTAAGTGAGTAAATAAAGACATAAAATAAATTCAGAAATTAAAAACATTAAAATTAAAAATTCACAGCAGAAGCATGGAAAAATTCAAATCTATCTATCTATCTTTTATCTATCTGTCTATCTACCTACCTACCTATCATCTATGTGTTATGTGATATGTGACACATGATATATGGGTATAAATATATAAGCTATATATTTATATATGTATGTGCTGTTAACTTGGTTGCAATTACCCATGCTTGTAAGACTAGATAGAAGCACCAATGATCCTTTTATATTAATCACACACATACACACACAAAGCAAACATTAAAGAAGATCTATGAACTTGTGATAAAATTCATGCTAATTGACAGTAATATTTGAGCCACATGTTGTAAGTAATAAAAACAAGTTTACATATAGACCAATGTAATAATTCAAGGTTTTAAAAATAGGATATAAGAATTTATGAAGTTTTAATAGTTCTTAAGACACTATTGCTTAAATGGCATTTATAAGTCCAGCAGTCTTGATGTCAAAAACTAAAAACATTTACATAATTAATAACATAAATCAGAGGTTAACAAACTTTTTCATAATTAGTCAGAGAGTAAATATTTTCAGTTTCTCCAGCTGCATGGTATCTGCCGTAACTACTCAGTTCTGCCTTTTCAGCAAGAAAGCAATCATAGACAATATGTAAACACTTTGACATGACAATGTTCCAATTAGATTTTATTGAGAGAAACAAGCAGACTGACTGGACTTCAATTCACTGATGTCTGATGCAAAAAATAATCACTTAATTTTTACAAATATGATAATTACTAATATTTGAATTGATCTTTGAAATTTAGAGAGTTCTAACACACACCATTTCAAATTAAAAACTTACCAAATCTCCAGCAGATATATATTAGTATTAATTCTAGATAAAGACATTGTGTCTTGATCGGGTTGTATAATTTGATTAAATATCACAAAATTTGTAGTTATAAATTAGAAATAAAAAATGAGAATTTTAACTCACTATTAAATACTATACTTAAAATGTTATGTAGCATACTGGAAAATAAGATATATTAGTACTTAGGGGAAATTAAACACTTTAAGTTCTAAATTATATTTCTTTCTTTTTAAAGTGAAAGCAAGTTCATTAGCAAAGTAAGGAATAAAGAATTACTACTCCATAGGCGGAGCAGCCTAAATTATATTTCTTAAATGGTGATTTAAGTAGAGGATATAAAATAATAAGTTAGATAAACAGCTAATTAATATTATACTCACTTCTCAGGGTTCAGGCATCAGATAGAAAAATTCATCTGATAAATTAAATAAGGTCATGGCAAGAACACAATATAAAGCCAGGTGTTTGAGTAGCAAATAATTTTAAGCCCTATTAAAATTATTTAATAATAAAATACTCAAGGAAAGAATTAACACTTGGGATATAATCCAACTAATAGAACCTAATGACTAAATCACTAAGTATAACAGTGTGTAACTTTTGTGAAAATAAATATTTGTAATATTGTTACAAATTATCAGAAAATAATAGGTAGATTTTTACTTTCTGGATGAAGCTAAATTATAAATAAAATAAAAGTACAATACATTATTGGATTGTTTGCTCTTGCATTTCGATTTTGTTTGCCACGTCATATTCAGAATATTGATGACTGGGGCTGTTGTCAGGTGAACTACTCACGCACAATCCATTACTATAAAAATGGCATGTAATAGAATTTTACTCAGGTATCTTTATCAGTCAGTATTCTCTTAGAATTTTAAAAGTACATCATAATATGCAACTGAAATATCTTTCATTTTTAAGCTTGATGTTTGAGAACTATTTCATAATTTTGAATCTCATATTGATACACTGAATAAGCTGATACTTTGTTTCATAAATCTTATAACCATTTATACAGTATAAGATTGTTTCTGAGCATAAAAATAATCTTGCTATTCAAGTCTATATTCTACTAATTATGTTGAACATATTTTAAATTTCAAAATTTTGTTATTTTATTTTTATGAAAATTCATTATGATTTTCTTTATAAGCTTCACTTCAGATTAAATATATAGGATGTTTCCAAATATATAAGAATATTATTGAATTTAAAATAGTTTAACTTATAGGTAACAAAATATATTTGCAAATATAAAAGAGGATATAATATTTTATTTAACGTAGAGTATTTCATCACATTGCTACTTCTATTAGACTTTGAAATTCTTCCATTAAATTTTCGCTTCCAGGTGTGTCATTTTTATTTTATCATCAGTAAATGTAAAAATAACCAAAATAAGAACATTTTTTAAATGCGTTAGAAATCTAACACTAAAGACATTGTCTAGGAGGTGTCACAGTATATTTTAATAATACATTTATTAATAGATCTATGACTTACAGATGATTGGCAGGGTTTAGTTTTTTTCTTAAGGAAGTTTGTCCAACCAGTGGGCCACATGTGGCCCAGGGTGACTTTGAATGCAGCCCGACAAAATTGGTAAACATTCTAATTTCTTAAAACATTAAGTGATTGTTTTTGAGATGTTCTTTCTCTTTTTTTCTTTTTTTTCCCCGTTTTTTTTTTTAGCTTATCAGCTATTGTTAGTGTTAGTGTATTTTATTTGTGGCCCAAGATAATTTTTCTTCTTCCAATGTGGCCCAGGGAAGCCATAAGATTGGACACCCTGTCTTAAAAAATTATTCTGTTCCATTTTATCAATTATTGAAGGCTATGCACATCATGTAGTCCTAGAATACTTTGGTTTCAGGAAGCATAGAACTATCCTTAACAAAGTAATGTGAAAACATTTTGTGTTCTTTTTTCAGAGGTAGGAAAAGGTGGAGGACAAAAGTTCCATTTGAAGAGATATGAGGGTGGTCCCAGAGAGCGCGCTGTTTTGTTTTTCAACCACTGATGGCGCCCTGCTCTAGGTAATCCGGGTATGAGTGCAGGATTTTAGGATTTGAACCACACGTGGCAAGTTAGGTCATCCTCAGAATTATATATCTGTTATCCTCCCACCTTTTATTATTTCTTTGTTAAGTACTAGTTCAATTTACATTTATTTATTTATTTGCTGTACTAGTGAGGAAATGTATTCTCTTCCTGAGTTCACAAGGGGGAATAGTTTTTAGTGCAGGAACTTGCCAGCAACATCCCCTACCTGCTTTTCCCCACGTCTCCGACTGGGAGACTTAACAATTTAACTTTGGCACACGCGGGAAAAAAATCAAAAGTCAATCACTGCAGTGGAAGTTTAAAGGAACTCCCTTCATAGGTCACAGGGCTTGGAAGGAGACGGAATTCCTCCCAGGTTAAAAGTCTCTTCTTCCACAACCCTTCAGATTCTGTATTCGGGTCCCTTTCCATAATCCTCGTGGAAGCTTATCTCTCATTCTTTCTCCTTTTATTTCTCTCTCTTTCTCTCTGGCTAAATAAATCACTCTGCAAAAACTCTTTGGGGTCTGATATTTTCTTGTGAGTGCACGACACTGTGGTCCGCTCTGCCATTCTTGGGTGAGTAAGAGACCAAGAGCCTGGAAAAATATTCTCACAGGGGAGCTGAGTTCTCCCCTGCACCCCAAAACCTGACCAACAATATTAGCCAGTCAGCCAAGAGGAGGCAGTCAGAAGCCAAGAAAGCAGTCAGAGGTGAGTTATATTGGACATCCCTCTCACTTGAAATCTGTTCTGTCACTTTAAGGAGACCAGAGCAGTGGCGGGGCTCAACCTGTGTTTAAGCAGCACGGGCCAGACAGACAAAATGTGCAGTTTTCTTCCTCCAAACTCTCTTTGCTTTCTTTGTCATTCCCTTCCCTTCGCCCCCCTCACCCCCGCCCCTCCCCGCCCCTCCCCGCCCCTCCCCCGGCTGCATCTCTAGGCCAAAATCCTGCGGAGAGTAGGCAGAGGCTATCTGCAGTTACCGGAGGATCCAGGCGCGGAGGCAGCCGTTCAGCTCACGCAGGGGGCGGAGCAGACGAGCACTTTCCCTCGGTCTTTCGCTCCAAGCCAGCCAGGACCTGGGACCACGGAAACAGCAGCTCAGTCCTGGGGGTGGGCCTGGGTGGTTAAAAGCTGCAGTCATGCCAGAGAAAAGCATCAGGGAGGGGGCGATGTACAGTCCGAGCCTGCATGAGACCGAAGAGTGCAGCGGCCTGGGGCCATAGCCCGGCAGGCCTCTCCAGCCTCCCCATTGGGACGCAGCAGTGAACAAAGCGGGCCCAAGGTGCGCACATGGTCCCGGTGTCATGGCGAAGAGGAGCGCAGTGGCCTGGCTTTTAAAATCACAATGGCAAGCAGTATTTTTCTCGTGGAGCATGTAAGGGGACAGCGGCTGAAAGAGAAAAAAAAAACTGCTGCTGGCAACAAGACCTGCCTGGCTTTCTGGCTGACTCCTGGGTTCAGATTCCAGGCTCTGGCGGCAGTGTGCTCAGCATTCTCATTCAGATAAGGCTTAAGGAAGCTCTCTCCCTTGATTGTAAAGGAAGTGGCCAAATGGTAAAGGGCTTCAGGTGTAGGGCTTGTAGCTGCAAGGTCACTGGGCCAAATCCCCAGTGGAGTCAGTCTTGAATTTGGGAAGCCTTTTGGGAAATTCAGAACTGAAGGCTATGGGACTTTGTGTTTTGTGTATAATTTTTCTTGCTTGGGATTGGCTCTCTCTCTAAGGAAGAACTTTTCCATCTAGAAGATCATAATTAAACCGGTTCTAGGGCCCAAAATAGCTAATTGCAGGCCCCACGACCTGTATGGGCATTTTCCTATAATGGAAAATGGGGTTGGAGGAGGAGGCCCGGGTCTTGTGGGTATTGTTCCAGCTTCAGCCACGTGGCCCGCCTTCTTCGGATTAATGTGCATGAAGGCCCCTCCCTAGAAGTTTACGCTTCTAGGGCAATTTTGTAATCTGGCCTGTGTAAATTGTACTTTTGCTAGGGAATATTTGTACTCATCTCCCTAGCCTCACTGGCCTCATCAAGGACTCATTGGTGTGAGGATACCCAACTCAACAGCCCTTCATGCCTCTGTGGTAGTCACTGGAGGTCATGCAGACAGTGAGTGAGTCCCATGATGCTGGTAGCATGATTTAAATCTGTTACATGGGAGGCCCCCCCGAAAAGATGATCACACATCTTGGGCACACGGTCGAGGTACTGACTGTGATGCCTCAGACCCGGTACCTTATCTGTGGGATGCCGCAGATGGAGCAGTTATAATTAATAACTGGGGATGCTGGCATCCCTTGCATTCGATATCTGATGGGTGCTAATCTTCCCAAACTCAAGTCCTTATTAAAATGTATACTGGAAAATTGGGACCAATTTGACACTCGATCTTTGAAGAAGTGGCTCATTTTTTTCTGCCAAACAGAGTGGCTGAAATACCCCCTGTCAAGTGGAAAAATCAGGCTTCCTAAGGGAAATATAGATTATGACACTATTCTACAATTAGACCTGTTTTGTAAAAGTGAGGGTAAATGGTTTGAGGTGCCCTATGTGCAGTATTTCTTTTCCCTAAGGAATAAGCCTCAGTTCTGTCAGGCCTGTGCCCCATACCCTACTCAGCCCTCCTCAGGACTACCTCCATATGTGGGACTCCCTGTGGCAACAACCTCCACCAAGGCCAACCAGAGCTCCTGCCAACTGGAGCCAGGAAGGGCTGAGATGGCCAGGGCATCTCAGGCTACCAGGATGCCCCCACTCTGCTCCCTACAGGCAGTAGGGGAGAATTTGGCCCGAATAAGGTGCATACACCCTTCTCACTTTCTGTCTTAAAGCAAATTAAGGTGGACTTAGGAAAGTTTTCAGATGATCCACACAAGTACACAGATGTTCTGCAGGGTCTGGGTCAGTCCTTCGAATTAGACTGGAAAGATATCATGTTATTGCATAATCGAACCCTATCAGTGGGAGAGAGTCTGCTCTACTAGCAGCAGCTAAGAGTTTGGGGATACTTGGTACCTTCGTCAGGTACATAACCTAATGAAGCCAGAGGAAAACTATAGATATCCTACAGGTAAACTAGCAGTCTCTGGCACAGACCTTTGCTGGGATCTGGATTCAGAAGAGGAGACTGGAGCCATAGGCATTTCTTGACCTGAATACTTGAGAGATTAAGGCAAACTAGGAAGAGTCCCATGAACTATGCAATGTTATCCACCATGACTCAGGAAATGGAAGAAAACCCATCTGCTTTCCTTGAGCGATTGCAGGAGGCCTTAAGAAAGTACACTCCTCTGTCACCACCAAACTCCATTGAGGGTCAGTTAATACTAAAGGACAAGTTTGTTAGGCAGTCAGCAGGAGATATTTGGAGGAACCTCCAAAGGCTGGTCTTGAGGCCAGAACAGAGTCTAGAATCATTGCTGAACCAGACAACCTTGGTGTTTTATAATAGAGACCAGGAGGAACAGGCTGAAAGGAACAGGAGAGATGAGAGAAAAGCTGCTGCTTCAGTCATGGCTTTCAGGCAAGTGGACCCCAGGGCTCAAATGAGGGAAAGGCTTGGGTTAGCCACCAGTCTGGCAGAGCTTGTTACCAGTGTGGTCTGAAGGGACATTTTACAAGAAATTGTCCCCAGAGGAATGGACCCCCACCTTGTCCATACCCACTTTGCCAAGGCAATCACTGGAAAGCACAATGTCCCTGGGAACAAAGGTCCCCAGGGCCTAAGCTGTCTAACCAGATGACCCAATGGCAGGACTGAGGGTGCCTGGAGCAAGTGCCAGCATGAGCCGTCACCCTTACAGGGCCCCAGGTAAAGCCAACCATAGAGGTCCAGGAAGTTAATCTTCTCCTAGACACTGGCATGTCCTTCTCATATTTCTGTTCTGCCATGGAGATTCGGTGCTTATTAAATCTCCCCCAGACTCTCCCTCTCTAGGCCCATCTTGGGAAGGATCATTTTCAGTCACTCTGTCTACTCCAACGACAGTTACGGTGCTGGGAATTGACTCATGGATTCATCACACTCGGCTGAAGCCTTGGACGCCTCCTGAAGAAAGTCACAGACCCTCCACTCCACAGCTTGAGGTTCCAGGAGATGACCCTTCATACACCTGCGAGGCATCAGAGGATCTGCATCTGCTCTTCCGACAATATCCCCAGGAAAGTAACCACACAAGAGCCTGATTTAGATCCTGGTGTTAACAGGGCTATAACGCTATGTCTCAAACTCCAATTATTCCTTTAATGAAAGGGGGATGGTTGAAAATTTGGAAAACTGGGTGCTGATGTTAGGGAAGTTACTACCTCTATTCAGTTTCTATAAGCTACCTCAGGAGTTATTTAATAACATAAAAATGTTGCTAATTCTTTCTGCAAAACAGCTTAACTCTTTAGCTGCCATAGTTCTTCAAAGTAAAAGAGCCCTAAAATCTGCTAACAACAGAGAGGGAGGGAACATGTCTCTTTCTAGGAAAAATGCTGCTATTTGGTAAACCACGTAAGTGTTGTTTTAAACATAGTTGAATAACTCAGGAACCAAACACAGGGCTAAAAACCTTCCAGAAACAGTATCGTGAAGCTTGTTTAACAACTGGCTGTTCTGACTCTATTCTCTCCTAGGCTCGTTTATAACCATCCTATATTTGGTGGCCTCTGGGCCTCTCGTCTTTAACCACCTTATCACATTTGTTTCTTCTAGAACCATAAGGTCACAAATAATCCTGTCACTGGAACCCTGAATGTCCTTGGCTCACGAGCTCTATCATGGACCTCAGGATCAACCTGCGCTCCTAAAAGGCTCCATCTGCAGGAAGCCTCATCTGCCACTCTATGCGCATTTCAGCAGGAAGTAGCTACAGAACGATCAATGCCTGTGTTCCAACAGAAGTTAGGCTTTCCTGTTTGGGGGTGGGGTTGTGGGGGGGTGGGGGTGGGGTGGGGACTGAGGAAATGTATTCTCTTCCCAGGTCCACAAGGGGGCGTAGTTTCTCAGACAGGAACTTCCCAAGGACATGCCATACCTGCCTTCCCCCAAGTGTGTAATAAAGTTACTGGTAGGTATCACCTGATGGTGATATATACACATACTCAGAAACCCACATATTTATTTAATTTTCTTTTATCTTCCCTGGGCATATACAAGTGAACATGTTTAATAAATTTCTATTCAAACTCAGATTATGACAAAATATTTTCTGTAACAACCAAGTTGAAATCATTTTCCTTAATCTACAGAAATCTATCAAGATAACCTTAACAAATTAAATTGTTTTCTACAACATGGGAAGACAAGGATAAAAGAAGACAAGAACAATTTCAGTATTTAAAATAAGAAAAAATTTGGATCTAAAGTGGCAAAAAGTACAATATGTTCCTAAAATGGTTTGATAAAATGAATGTTTTGTCCAACTTTTGGCTTTTGTGTGGAAAGAGGAAAAATATGCAGTGTACACATTGTATGTAATGGTCTGAATGTTCTTTAGAAAAACTATGTTAATGTAAGAATATTTTCTGCTGAGTTAATTAGACACAAGCTTCTTATTTTCTACCTTGGATGAGAGGAATCAGGCCACAATGAACTCTGACATTTGTTTCAACTTCAGTTACCTACAGCCAATGTGCATTAACCTCAGAACCATGGTGAGGCATTTATAAGGGATAGCAAATTTCTCTCATGATCTTTTAAGAAAAATTGCATTTTCATATATAATACTTCTACAGAACTATATCTGTAATTTTAAACAAATTTCTTTTGATCCTGAATAAAAGTTCTGTGCCTTCCTCTGGAATGATCATCTGCTTTTCATACCCATTGGATGCAGTTTCAAGTCTCACCAGCTCTTCAGCGTCCATGTGTAATAGCAATGAGAAGCAAGCACTTACCTAGCACTAGCACGCCCCTCAGTACTATTGAAAGGGCTTTACATATGTTAAACATTGTAAAGTCATTTAAAATCATTTCTTAATTTTAAAAACACATTATTTTTTCAAAAGCCGCACTGGCTTTGTACATAGTACAAAACATAAATATTTTAAACAGTAAAAATTAAGAGGACAATTTTTAAAGTTTAGGCAGAACATGTAAAAAAATTCTGAAAGAATTTTTGTTTTATCTTCAATGTATGTTATTCCATAAACCATAGCTGTAACAAATGTGTTGGCACATAGACAGTAATTAATAGAAAACAAATTTTTTTTGTATTATATCTGATTCCAAAAGGGACAAAGACACTATTAAAACATATATATATACACACACATACACACACACATATAATGTATATACATTACATATATATTTCTATACACATATACCTTGCACATAAAATATTTTAATCAAGTCACATAGTTTAAAAACATTATGCAGCAGTAGTCTATAAAATATGCTATTGAAAAGCAAAGTATCAGATAATTTCTATTAAGCCTCTAACAGTTTATTAATAAATCATTGTTTCTCTTCAGGGCTTATAAATTCAAGAAACACACGAAAAAGATTTCAGAAAAGAAAGAATAACTTAAGTAAAATATTTCACAAGTAAAATCCCTAGTTATGGAAACGAAAAACAAGAATAGTTGACCCCCTACTTCACAAATGTTAGCAAGTAACAATGGCATAAGGAAAGATATCCAACCTGTCTCTATATCTGCATTAGACTCAAAGTCAACATCCTCACAGACAACATGAAGAGTTTCACAAAGAATTTTTCCCTGTTAGGGAGAGCTATTACATATTAGACTGACTCACAGCTGTGAAACCTCTTCAGAAGTCCTTAAAATGCAAGAAGTTCACACCTCTTTTTTGTGCTTATGATTTATATCCTCAGTATAGGCTAGATGACTTTTCTTGGATCATTTTCAGTCAAATTTAGTTATTTAGTGCTATGGTGAGTGATGTCCTAGTTTGACTAGTTGTGAAACAATGAAAATTTTGGAGTAAGTTATTTCATGTAGTCTACAATTAAGATATGCTGGGAAAAGATTCCATAAACTGTACTATTTTATGTAGATATCTACAAGAAATAATTTAACACAAGAGTAAAAGAAAGGTTTCCAAGTCATGATACTATTGCAACAATTTAAGAGAGTCACTTAATTACAAGAATGCATAATTGCAGTGAGGTCTGATTGCAGACGAAAGACTTATTCTGAATATATAAGAAGGCAACATGCTATTAAAATGCCCATCTCATCTCCTATTGTCATAACTTTCACCTGTTGTTCTTTAAAGATGCAAAACTATATTTAGAATTCGATTTCCTGAAGCAAGAAAAATTTTACTGTTTCTTTAAAATATGTTTTGATAATATACTGTGGAAATAAATGAAGACCATCCACATGGTGAAGAAGCAAAGGCTGTTTATTCATTCCATTTGCAAGGGAGTCAGCATCATCATTTGGATTTAGCAAAAACTGAAATATAGATGGAGGACTGGGAAAGTTTTTAAGTCCAAAAAGGGGGAGCCATCAGGTATACTCTGAATGGAGGTTGCTGCCTTGGGCAAGGTGGCGATGACCTAGGTCTAGAAGCCAAGACTAAAAGATCACTGATGTGATCAGTTGGTGGAGTATAGTTGGCTTTCTCTTGATGGTCCTAAAATGAAAGCTGCAGGCAAGGAGCAAAAATCAACTCAAGTTCGTTAGAGCAAGAGTAGACCCTCTGGAGTTGATTGCTGCATAGGTTGTGGATTGGATTTCTGGGCTGATTGTTGAGGTTGGCAGTCAGAGTTCCCTTTTATATATAGTCTCAGCATTGCACATTTATATATTCATTCTCTAATTATAATGCTGTTACTTTAATTCTGTACACTTTAAAACATATGTGCAGTTTTTATTGTATGGGTACGTAATAGGTGTATATATTCATAGCACTTTAAAAACCTCATTTTAGATCTATGACAAATGTATCTGAAAAAATAATACAACCACAGGTATGTGCATATAACACAGATCACAGAAGAACAAATATCCTTGCTGTACCGTCACTCAATATCACCATAGCCATCTCTTTATTTTTATATATGAGTATTATTTCTCTGCAACCCCAATTTATACATCACACATTAGTTCTTTGTGAGCAAAGCCTCTAATTTCTCTGTCTGCCACCATCCCTTAACTATATTACTATATTCTATATCAATCCATATCCTATTCTGCTCACTTCCAGGGAAAATGCCATATAAGTTTTCTGTGTTATCCCTTGTATGCAAGGATCAACCATTTAAATTACTTTGGCCATGAAGAAATGGTGAAAGTGATGATGTGCCCATTCCTAGCAGAGACTCAAAATACAAACGATTTGAGAAATTTTTGCTTGTTACCCAGTGATTCTACCACTGCCATGAGAAGGACTTACCTATACTAAACTTCAGCAGGAGTTAGAGGACACATGAAAAACCAGGCAAAATGCAGATACATAACTAAGTTCAGCAAATATTAGCCAAATCAACCTAGATTAGTCAATCCAGGATATAGCCTGCACGGAGATGTTGTAGGCTATGTTTTGGGTGTATTCTTACAAAGCAAAGACTGATGTACAGATTGAAAATTGCACTGAAACTATATGAGTTTCTGTCTATATAGACAAATAAATCTCCCTGGATTCTTCCATGCTACTGCAAAAGATTTTAGTCTCCTGAGACTTCATATACCTTGATCATTAAATCTTGAGACATGTGTCTAATAGATTCCATTGATTTGAAGCAATAGACATTATTTTCTCCTACTTTCCAGATAGAGCCAAATGGTTACAGTCTGCACTAGGTCCCCAGGTTAAGCCCCTGAAGGAAAGAGCGTAGAGAGTTATTTCCCTGTGTATTTATATATCAAAAGGACTAAAGCCACAGATTGTGAAGATGTCTTTATGCCCTAAAAACTCAGACACATTTAGCTTTCTGGCTACTACAGAAAATATCTTTACATAATATAGGTTTGAAATAAAGCCTCAGGTCCCTTACTTTTCCAAGATCTTTTTAGGAGTATGGGAAAGTTGTCTCTTTCCCCTTGTAAGAAGAGCGCACTGTTTCCTGTAGGTTACCTGCCTTGCCTATAGAGTACTTGGCTACTTTCGTAGAAAGAATTACATGAATTATCATTGCACCATTCCAGCAGTAAGCATGAAAACAAAGGAGTGACATGCACTCATCATTTACTGTGAGTAATAAAGAACAAATCTGTCTCTGTCTCAGACACAATGTGTATGCATTCGGGATAAAATTACAAAAAAACGAACAATCAAAAGCCAATAGCCTAACTTAATTATTTGAAATAAGATATAATTTAACCCTTAAAAATACAACAATCTTCAGTTTTTAGATCTGAGCCAGTGCTGTGTGCTATATGCTATGAGAGTTTAAGAAAAAAATTATGTATTCCTGTGCAGTAGCAGCTAAAAAGAAGTAACCTTTTAAAGCAACCATTTAATGAATTGAATTAGAATTAGGCTATGGCAGTCTAGATGCTCACAAAAAACAACACTGTTTTTGAATGTTGAGAATGGAAAACAGTATACTAACAAATACATTCTAATACTGATAAACCAGATGGTATGATTCAGTTTAATAAAATTTAAACTAATATTTGTAGTTCAAAATTTTACTATGCAATATATAAATTAATGTAAGGAAAATATAACAACATGGTAAATAATACTACATAACAGGCTTGAGAACAATGCTAAAGGCCTTTTATATAAATAAACAAATAAATGAGTAAATAAATGAATCTGAAAGCTCCTGAGTATAGAAAAATAATGTAGGGCAACTAATCAAAAACGATGACTGGATTAAACAGTGACTAAGATATTTACTAATTTGATTGACATTTTTCACACAGAGAAAACTATAACTACTGAAACTGAAGTCACAAGTTAATCACAAATGAGAAATGAGAAGTATTTTGTCATTAAGAACCAACCATTGACTCAGGATTTAATGTTTTAAAAAATGCAAGCTAAGATAAACAATGTGCAAATCTGAGGGCTTACTTTTTTTTTTTTGAAATAAAAAGCCATATTTTTGGTACCCACTGGTTCCTGACGTATTCTCTTAGGAAATGAGAAATAATAGATGGGGTTAATAAAACAGAACAGAATCTCTTTCAGGAAACCAAGGAGAATAAACCCATTATAGAAATTAAGCAAAAATAAAGACATAGGAAATAATGAACAACACAATCAATTCAGGAACTGCTTAAAAGGGAAAAAATAATTGGTGAAGAAGTATTTTGAGAAGGCAGCATTGAGGAACATGCAGCAAATTGGGGCATGCATTTGGGTTTTTATTTTATCTGACTGGGAAAAGTCTTGCTCATGATCACTAGTGGTTCTGAGTTTTCAAGGTAAGGTGTGAGTTGTCTGATTACATTCAGAAAGTTAACAGAAATGCATCTTTCCTTCTAACAGTATTTATGTTATCTCATTTATTTTCTAATATAGAAGGTGAGATTATAAAATAGTGAGAGTAGATTTCTTTTCTTTTTTTTTTTTTTTTTATTAGACAGAGTCTCACTCTTGTTGCCTAGGCTGGAGTGCAGTGGCATGACTTCTGCTCACTGTAACCTCCACCTCCCAGGTTCCAGCGATTCTCCTGCCTCAGTCTCTGCACTATCTGTGATTATAGGCACCCACCACTACGCCCAGATATTTTTTTTTGTATTCGTATTATAGATGGGGTTTCACCAAGTGGGCAGGGCCGGTCTCAAACTCCTGACCTCAGATGATCCACCCACCTAGGCCTCCCAAATTGCTATGATTACAGGCTTAAGCCACTGTGTCCAGCCCAGAAGTAGTTTTATGTTATAATTCATGAAAGTAATGTTATGTATATGTATATATGTACATACTTGATAAATAAAGTTAAAATTTCTCATTATGGGAGGTATAGAGACAATGCATTCTGAAGAATACTCAGGAAGGAATTGAATTTGCTAATAAAGGTACCTAATAACATAAATTGAATCATTATAGAGCCTAAAAGGAAAAAGTTGTTTCTAAAATTAATACTCCAATGATTACATTTTCTCTTTCATTCTTCTGCTCTGCCTCTCTACTCTTTCCACGTTTTTTTTTTTTTTTTCCAAAATAATAAACACCTTTGGGGAAATTCATAATAAATTCAAACTTTGGGGATCACATACATTCATTCATATGCCTAATTACATATTCTTATTTTACTGTATATATGTTAATTGGCTCTTACTTGATTCC